TATTCCACGCACTCTTTTCCACGGATTTTTTCTTACGGTTTTACTATCACATTTTTTTCAGTTCGTTCGCGCAGCAAAATCCCTATCCCCTCCAAGCCTGCCGTAAGGAACTGCGTCCCAATTAATATTATTATTATAAGTAATTCTTATTATCAAATTCTATTGCTGAAACTATTGCGACTCTCGCGCCTGCGCACGTCTCATTTAACGGTTTTATTCCACGCACTTTTTTCCACGGATTTTTTCTTACGGTTTTACTATCACATTTTTTTCAGTTCGGTCGCGCAGCAAAATCCCTATCCCCTCCAAGCCTGCCGTAAGAAACTTCGTTCCAATATCAATAGTTTTAATACAAATTTACGAATTGAACTAGACAAAGGCACTAAAGACACAGCTACAATACTTATGAGAATTTTCTACACAGATAACGTGACATTTTTTTTGTGAACGCTACATATGAGAGCGTACATTTTCATATTTTTCCACGGTTTTTCTGCACTCCAATCCAAGTTGTACTTAATTTATTGTACCGGCATCGCTTTTTTTAACAATAAGTAAGGTTACACCAGAAATAAAACAACACGATATTTAAAAAAACAGGACAAGTGCAAATCGGTCATGCTCACCGAAGGTTCCGTACTTGGTAAGGTTTTACATTAACTTAAATTAATTTTAAAGTGATAACTTCTTTAGCGGCTTTGTACACTTTTTTTTGTATGGTAAAAAATGTTAAAATCGCGTCAGGTTAATCGCATCATGGCACACAATAAAATTGGAAAGGTTGTTGACTTTCAATACATTGGACGAAACATAGTAATATTTATTTTTGCCGTATTATAATAATATGTCTCTATCTAGGACGTCCACGTGGCAGCTTTATTGCGAACAAAAAGCATTTTTTTACAATAGATGTCGCTAGGTGCGCTTAAATGTGATTCATGTAAGTTGATTTTTCTGAGAGATAAACTTTTGTTTGACAATGCCATTTCGGACTCGGAAACTATTCGAATTCGATAATGGTTCGTGCTAAGGGAACAGATGAACATTAAGGTTGTGTTTCTTCACGCAAAGGCAGGTTTATTACTTTCCCAAACGCTTGATTTCTTGCGGGCAAACCGCTGTCTACTACCCCTGAAATGACTGAATATGGTTTAAATATCAACTCGGTATCTCCGCGCATTCCCGAGATAAAGAGTCTTGATAGACAGACGTACATCAGTGATTCTATAAGGGTACCGTGTTTTTCTTTTGAGTTTAAACACTAAAATGAAAAACAAACAAAAACGACGGGTTGCACTCCGGGAGTTCCGTCAGAAGTGAAAACTTGAATATTAACGTTGTGCATTTTTGATATTTTGGAATGGTTAGGGAATAATTTTCCACGAATTGCTTTAATTATCAGTATAAAAGTACTATCGTGTATGTGGTAGGTGGTCAATATTTATTTATTGCGCAATCGTACACAAACATGACAATTTATATACATTAAAAAAATGGTTGCCTGTAAAGTCGGTTTTACGGGCGAAGATTTTACGTGACAACGTCTTTTTCTCGGTAGAATATTTATTGATATGAATATAATTAAATTGCACAATAGGAACAAGGAATTGAATGAAAATAAGAATTGCACAAATTTTAACTATAGAAATATATTTTGTTTACTAAAACATTGTACATGTAAACTTAAACTTAACACGAGAGACTCATCGTAACGTTACCGAGCGTTACACTTTTTCATAAGTGACTCCCAGCCGCAACCTAATTTAAGACGTTGTCACGTCAAAAGAAGTCCGAATAGTTCTTGATTAAGTAAAGATTCTTTTCCCGTCTTTTATTTACAGAAGTCATGAAACAAAAATATATCTTACTCCATTTTGATATTTTAAAATACTCCTTATTTTATTTATATTTCTCATTAGCGATCATGAGTAGATAGATTTTTTATGTGTTTTCTACAATTGATTAGTTATAATAAACGCGTATACACTTAACGTTTCAGTTAAAAAATATTTGTGAATGTTCTCATCAGTACCAATTCTGCGTGGCTTTAAAATAAAAAAAAAAACCCACTCGCGGATTCCGTTTTACGAATTATTTGTATATTGTAAAAAGTTGGAAAAAAAAACGGCCAAGTGCGAGTCGGACTCGTGCACCTAAGGGGTTCCGTACTACCCTGTAGGTATATGATAATTATAAAAAAATGTGATGTAATTAAAAATTTACGGTATTCGCAATTATTCCTCTATCTGTGCTATAAGACGTTGCTTCGTACCAAATTTCAAGATTCTGAGTTCACGGGAAGTACCCTGTTGGTTTTGAGTCCTTTGCGAGTTTTGAAAATATGTGGAAATTTGCGGCATAAACGGCTGTTTCTTTTGATTGCGTTGGCTTAGAAGTTTGATATTTTCACAGCTCCAAGGGACAGTAGTCCTGAGTATTTGATATAAATTTCAGCTTAATACCTTCACGCGTTCCTGAGAAAAAGTGTCTTGACAGACGTACGCAACGGACAACAAAGTGATCCTTTACTGCCGTCCTCAAACTAAAACGCGGTTAAATGACAAAACAACTTGTGTGATATGGCCAAAAAATTGCACGTAAACTTTAAATTATTGCTATTTTGTAACCATTCATCACATGGAGGATTTTAAGACTTAATCTATAAAAGATACGAATACTTGCTATAGACAGATCGATAGAGAATTAAAAACTGTAAACGATGTAATTTAAGACTGAAAAATCGACCACATGTCACTTAGCCGTATTTTAGTTTGAGGTAGGCAGTATGAGGGTTCCGTCTTTTCCTTTCAAAGTACAGAACCCTAAAAACACATTTATTGTCAGTAATATCGCGATGCATTCTCTCACTATGCACATTAGAGACTGACAAAAAGCCAACACAAAGAGTTGGGTGCAACGTAAAAACGCAAATTGCGTACCATTCCCAGCGCGGCGCTGAATCGAAGCCTTTTTGCCGCATCTTTTTCAGCTTACGGGGAAACGGTTTACGGGGAAAACCGCTCACAAAGAAAGAAAACTGGTAGAGGATAAACTGAAATCTGTGTACGAGATTTAATGACGTTGCATTTCGACAACAATTTCACCCCCATCATCTTGGCTATCCACAACCGTGCGTTTTTGTCGAATTTTTTTACCACGTATGACAAAACTGTGGAATATATTGTCGCCAGCAGTGTTTCCGGACCAATACGACCCAAAAACCTTCAAAAAAAGAGCGTACTTAAAGGCCGGCATCGCATTTGTGATACTCCTGGTGTTGCAAGTGTCCATTGGCGCCGGTGATCACTTACCATCAGGTGAGCCGTCTGCTCGTATAACATAAAAAAATAAAACGTTAATGACGAGTGGCATGTTGTGGAAAACGCAGTGACTACCAGATCTTAATGGAAATAAATCAGTCTGTTAATGAAAGAAAATTTCCTGACGATTTAAAAATATCCCTAATAAAACCCATAGACAAAAAAGAAGACATCACAGATAAAAGTAACTACAGACCGATAGCACTACCAACAAGTTCTGCGAAAATTTTTGAATCCGCTATGTCACTGCGTCTAAATTCCTTTTGTATAAACGTTTTAGCATTTTACATAAACGTCAAAATGGATTTCGAAAAAATAAGTCAACTACAGTAGCTGTGTACAACTATATTCAGGAAGTTCTAAATATCAGAAATAACAAAGAATATGGTGTTGGGGTTTTACTGTGATTGATTATAATTATGTGTATTTTATTTATTTTTTGTATATTGATATTGTGGTGCCCTTACAGGGTTCATGTTTAGATCTGAACCTAAATCTTGAGAACGTGCAGTAATTGAACCACATGAAACAATAAATATATTGCATTGTATTGAAAAAAAAAGCGGCTAAATTGATAACCTTCTCCTTTTTGAAGTTGGTTAAAAAATACTTCAACACTAGCTTTCGCTCTCAGCTTCGTTCGCGTTGAGACTGATAGTTTTATTTATTTATTTAATTTATTTAATTCAGGTAACAAACAGTCTTATACAAACATTTTTACAATGTGTTTTTACAAATAGACCTAAAGTACCATTAATTGATATAAAATTATTAAATTTAAGCGGCATAAAGTTTTCTGAGAATCCCACAGGATCCTGACATTTTTACGGGATAGAGTATATTTTTTTTTATATGTTAATGTGAAGAACAACTCTTTCATTCAAATCTGTTCAGTCGTTGTTTTGCAAGATTAAGTAACATCGAAATCTACAAAAACATAATCTTGCACATTTGTTACATTAACAGGATCTGTTTTCAATAAGTAACGCGCCCGAAATTACTAAGATAATATGCCAGGAAGAAACTGGCCTCATAGGTTAATCCAATATAATTTGTCATTATATTTTTTTATTGTTGTTCGCTTTAACTTCGGGGTTAATTTAGCGATTTTCACGTTTTTTTTTGTTTAATTCAGTTTCTAAGGGAGTGTCATATAAAATTGGTGTACAGGATACATAAGCTGTGCCCAAGCGTATTACTTAATCTTCTTCTTGGAGCGCCTACGTTTCATAGTTACAATTTACGTCACATTGACATTTTCTTGTTTGCGGAGACTTCGGAAAGAGTTAAAGTTAGGAAACAGGAAGTGTCTGATCCTGCTTCTTTTTCTAAAGTTGGTTAAAATGTTATTTTGTTTTTAGTTTTTATGAATACGACAAGGAATAACCAATAGGTTAGTCAGTTGACTAAATTTTGTTATCTAGTAGCTTTTCATATTTTTTCTTTGACTACTAGTCCAGCATATGTTGAGATGGAATAGTATATTACTAAATAAGGTACTTCTGAATTTATTCAACTATAATTTTCAAAAAGTTTACAAATCCAACGTTAAATAAATGTAAGGAAGTTCCTTAATTAAAAAAAAAACCATTTCGGACGGGCATAGGATTCCATGTCCATTACAACTCTGTCTGTAAACTGTTTTTTTTTTTGGTAATTGAAAAGAATAGCGTGACTTACTGGTTCCATTCACATTTCGCCCGATGATCTTATTGGAGCCGTTCGGTTGCGCGACGGCGGGGGTGAGCGGCGCGGGGGGCGCACTCCGTCCCGTTTCCTCGCCCGTGCTCTCCATGCCTGCTCTCTCGCTCGCACACATCAACCCTAATACGCCCGCCAATTCAAAACTTCACAAAATTCGCGAACTGTCAAATCAACAATAACATTTCTCGGCAATCTGTGTCGCAACACTGGCTGTACGAAAAAAAAAACAGTTTTGTTATTCTTTTCTCGGTAGTTTGTTTTTTTTTAATTTGTCAGTTTCCGCGGCAATCGCGATGGTTCCGAAAGTTTTGGCGGCAAAGTAGCGGTGTAGCCGTGACGTGGCGGTGTGACGCGCGCGCCTCGACTGATCGGGGCCAGCGAAGCCCCACGGGCTGCAGCTGCATCGCCCCGCCCAGCACCCCACGCGACCCCTCCACGTGGCCCCACGACTTTCCTTACCCTCGCCTCGCGCCGTAAATAAAAAAGAATATAAAGGATTCGTGCTGCGAACTTTTGTCGGTGTATGCGTTTTCGGTGTGTTTATGTGCATCGAAAGACGTGAGGGCCCGCTTTTTAATATTACGTCCCTACCTACACTTATCGAGCGGTGAGAGAGACTGGCTTTTTAATTGCGCTTCGGACTGGTTATAGAATACAATGAATGCTACTAAGTAATCTCAGTTTTGTACGATTTACTTACAAAAACTTGAAACCTGAATTACTCAATGTTTCAAAGACAAGATACAGAGATAGATATGAATCTCATATATCGTGTTCTTTCACATTTCTATGTTTGTTGAGTACATCAACCTAAATTTCTCCCACAATATGATTGAAAAATACACAAAAAGTCTTTTTTCATGGGATCGCCTTCTCGAGGAGGGTTCGGTGGGGGCAGATGTTTGTGTGATGAATACGAGCATTTGTACTCCAGTCATGGATGTATAATATGTATTTCTATATAACTATTTTTATATAGGTATGTACAGTATATGTATTCTATCCGTTACCCTAGTATCCCATAACACAAGCCTTTGCTTATTTTGGGGCTAGGCTAATTAGTGTGAGTGATGGAAATATTTATTTATTTTTTATAATCGATAGTGATTGTGACTTCTGCCCACAAAGTAAGTATTAACAAAGCCTAGTCACACCCAAGTCTTTGTTATTGTTTCTTAGGTAGAGATACCTATATAATTTCTGTAAAGAAAACTTAAAACTTGAACAATTCGTTAAAGAAAAACTGACTTATTTATTTAAGGGATAGCGAGTGGATTTTCCAGTCGAATTGGAACACTCGTCTGGGGAAGTAATCTCCAGAACCACTATACTACCTTTTGCTGGTGCTGTGCTTCTATCGGTGAGTAAGATTTCAGGGCTCCATTGGATATGGGGATTGGGTCAGGGTAGGCAACAGTGCGAGTGATATATTTATATATCTATCTGTCTATCTATCTATCTGTCTATCTATCTATCTATATATATATATACTAGCTGTTACCCGCGGCTACGCTCGCGTGGTTTTTCTATTTGAGGCTATCATCCTCTTTTGACATAGTGAGTAAAAAAGTAGCTTATAGCAACCCAAAGCTTCAACCTACATACTTACCAAATTTCAAAGTGGTTTAGGCTTCGAGGAAGGATAAACAAAACAAACACTCTCATAATAATACCTAATATTACTATGGATAGTACGTAATAAAACTTTAAAATGTAAAAGCATTAGTATTACGTAATTTTTATCAGTGAGCCAATTTTATACCTTCGAAGAAACCAATATATATATATGTCTATAGGCTATGGTGGCCGCTTACCGTCAGGAGGACTAAATGCTTGTTTAGCCATGCTTTTATCATAAAAAAAGCCGTTATAAAGTTTTATTAAAAAATTAAGTTCTGTAAAAAGTTGGACAAAACTTTGTCTTTACGACGTGGTACCCATGGAACAACCGCATTGCACAAATACTTAGTTAAGCTACAGGTACATACCCTCAAGAGAACAGACAAGGGTATAGAGGAAAATAAGTGTCGCAATAAGTTGTGTCACCGAGACAAAATTTACTTTTGGCACAACTGGTTTTTCAATGCTTTTTGTACATGGGTAATACGAGAATGAGTTATTTGGTAGAGAACCCACACACCACGCCACGGGGACAAAATTGTCAAAGCCTGACTCTACCTGTGGCACAACTAGTTGTGCAGTGCGATTGGTCCATGGATATACGTTTACTAACTTCTGACTGAATGTTACATATAACTTTACTATTAACAGAATTTTAAAAAAAACTTCCAAATCGCTAAATAAAAAGATTGAACAACAGGACTTTTTGGCGGGATCGGGAAGTGTCAGTTTAGTAGTTTTGTTTTTCTTGTTAAAAAATGTGTTGTGGCGGATGTTAGTGTCTAATAATGGTGGATTATTAACCACTAAGTGTTCGGGAACATGCACAAGTGTTGGCAAATGAAACAAAATAGCGGAAAGTGTCTTTCGACGTTCGCTCAAGAAGTCCACGGGGAGGTTCCAGGGGATTGACTTGACTGCCACTTACTTTGACTTGATTTCTTACTTTGACCACGAGTGCTATAGTACTTATTTGTAAACATTTCAACACTTGACATTGGCTAAATGCACAAGCCGTGCGAAGTCATTTAGAAAAAAAATATTGAACAACACTCACATTTTAAATTTAATTACTTTTTATAGAAAATAATAAGTTTAGAAATTTAATACATAAAAACTGTTAGTCGAGCCGCAAAGTTAAACAGCCAAAGCCAATTCCCCTTTACAACCAGTAATTCATCGGATACGAAATTAACCCATATCCTCTATGTGTGCCATAGTTTTTTGCTGGGCAGCAGCCAGACCGGCCATTTTGCCAATTTTTTATCGTTTTTCCAAGAAACAACTTTCGGCTGTGCGCAGAATTAAGCTTTTGTAAATGATTATCATTTTTAATTTGTTAAACTCACGAAACCACCGCTCCTCATGATTTCTTGTGATACCATTAAATTATTTGGAACACGTAACGCGCCATATTCATCCACTTTGAGTTTAATGTTCTGTCTTTTCTTTTACTCAATGAACAAACTGATTTAATTATGCGAATACTTGTCCATTTTATGTTTAATGCTTTGCTGCTGATGAAATGAATGAAATATGAAAATGAAATATATGTTATTGGAACAAAAACAGTGAATACAATAAATGTGTACGATAATAATTGCATTAGTTATAAAAACTGTGTCGCAACTATTAACGCCCACCTCTGAGAGTACATTGGAGTTCCTTACATACAACAAACTAACAATAAATATGATGAATGATTTAAATTTAATTTAACGTACTTAAATTAACAAATTTAAATGCATTTTATGCGTGTGCGCATGGGTGTGTGTGTGTGTGTGTATGTGTGTGTGTGTGTGAGTGTGATTGTGTGTGATTGTGGGTGTGCAGCTTAATGGAATAAGCTGAGGTTATCCTCCGTTACTATCTACTCAGAAAGTCTTCTATCTGCTCATAAGTAAGCGTATAAAGCGAATTGTCAACCAAAGCTTTACATTCTCTTGAAGAAAACTTGTAATTGTCAAGAACTCTATTTACCTTGTTATTTAATTTTGGGCTCAGGAATCTATACTGACGACTCACCACACCAAGGCTGCAGGTCTCTAACTTGCACACTCTATCAGACCGACGTACTTGTTTTTTCAGGTTAGGGTCATACACCAGGGTAGCATGTTTACGCAGCACAGTATTTAACACAAAAGCGTGTCTAACCCTTGGTAAATTACAAATAGCGTACAAAGTATTTGTCGGGTAAAAGCTTTTAAAGGGAAGATTATAAAATGCAAATGACACTCTCACACACTCGGACCCCCTTTAATAAACGAAGTAAAACCTTAACAAAAGATTTAGTCAAAGTTAACTTCAGTTATGCTAATGAAAGTTCGCACAAAGGCGTAGAACGTAGATTCACATCGTAAGACCAGGCACTTAGCGAGTTTCCCCGATTTCCACAAAAAGGTTGAGGTTCCCACAGCGCGCGGCCAGTCCATCATCGCGTAGACATATTTCCAGCTAGCCGGCCGGCCAACCTTTCACCGCTCAGGAAAAACCTACACTACCTTAACTGTCGTTACGATATTATTTACAGAAAAACTCAAGGCCAGGAAACTGGCGAGCGGGCAGGCGAGCTCTCGAAGGTGTAACTTTAATAAAGACCTTCTTATTGGTTATACAATTAACGTTTTGTTTAGTGTACTGATTCAATCTATACTTATTTACTAATTACTTATCTCTTATCTATTAGACAAGTCCGTCCGTCCGTCCGTCCGTCCGTGGTGCTGTTTCAGCGGCCAAACCGTAAGAGATAGATAAAGAGAATGTTTAAGTTATAAGTTGAGAATAGTCTGATAAGACTACAAACCGGATGTGAGTAACTTAGCACTTCCGGTTTTCGAGAAATCACGTGATTTCTATTTCAAACGAAACCACACAAAATCTCCGAAGTTCTCAATTAATTAAATACATTTTTTTTTTTTGGTGAACATTTGGTTCACTGGTTTGCTAGTTTACTTATAATATTATAAAGAGGAAAGATTTTTATGTAAGTTTTATGTTATACACACCTGATTGTGCTCACCGTCGCCCATGGACACTTGCAACACCAGGAGTATCACAAATACGATGCCGTTTAATGAAGGAGTACGCTCTTTTTTTGAAGGTTTTTGGGTCGAATTGGTCCGGAAACACTGCTGGCGACAATATTCCACAGTTTTGTCGTACGTGGTAAACAATTTCGACAAAAACGCACGGTTGTAAAGTATGTTTGTAACGAATTGGCTCAAAAAGTGTTGGTCCGATTTTAAAAATTCTTTTTACTGTTTTAATGCTACATTATCACTGATTAATATAGGCTATAGTGTATTTTCAAAAAAGTTAGGATTCCGTATGAAAACTTCAAAAAGTAGCCTTATATCGCGTACACTGCGGAAGTCATTGACAATGGAGCAAAGTGAAAGTGTACTAAAGTTTTATAGAGGATACCAATATCTAACTATTGCAGTTATGTCACTACTAGAGGTCCCCAACGGTTTCACCCGCTTACATTTGAAAAAAAAATAGTAATTTAAACATAAAATATTTAAACATTGTTTATACAAATATGTGTTAAACAAAGTTTTGTGTAGACGATTTTTGTGAATGTTGATATGTTTTTGTTGATTATGTAGGTAGGGCAAAACACGCGTTGGAGACCTGGCTTATGTTGAACATTTTAACCGCGTATTTCCTAGCCACACACCAGCAGTAACGCACTCTCGCAGCGTTTTCCCACGGTGTTAGCCCCGCCTCTACTGGAGACTAGAGACGTCCACCAACACTAGCTTGATTATGCCATTTTTTTCTAATCTGGCGACACTGCAGGAGAAACTCCTGGGCGCGCAAGTTCTTTATGAATTTCCATCGCGCGATTTTTCACTGTTTACGTGGCAGCTCTCATCCTACCTAGGTACGGTACCAGTATTTTGCCCGCTGTTATAAATATTTATTCTACCATTTTTATTCTGATCTATAACTTC